TATAACTTTAAATGGTCCTTCATAAGGGGGTTGAAGATTAGACTTATGAATAACTTTTACAAATACGTATTCACAAGAACTTAAATTTTAAGGAATGAAACTGTTTTCTTTATTATGACGTATTACTTTCGATCGAACAAGTGAGAAATGCTTTCTTAATTTAGAAAGAATTTAATTTGTATTTTCAATTTCGTTATCATAATTATAATTGGAAACAATAAGTTCACCCGGAAGTCTCAGTGTTTGACCATAAACCAATTCAGCTGAAGAACATTTAAGATCTTCCTTAATCGCTATTCGAAACCTAAAAGTATCCACGGTAAAATTTCAGACCAATGAACTGAATTACTTGATGCTGTAATTGCAGTTTTCAAAGTTCTATGAAATCCTTCAATCATTCCATTTGACTTGGAAGATATTGTCATCTCCACTTTTACTGGCCATCTTATGAAGACGGCGTGAGTTGCTAGCTACGCACAACAAAAAAACTACTTGTAAAGAAAAACAAAACCAAGCGAAACTTTCTAACGCGATAAACAAAAACTGCAGGACAACAATAATTCGATTACAGATAAAACCGGTGTGTATAAACACGAAATGAACAATATATGGTTTTGGTGTGTTCCAACCGAACTGCCTACGAACGCACTCGCACTACTCCCGTGTTGCCGGTGGTAACTTTAAGCCGTCTGTATGACTGGGCTCTGAGTGCGGCACGTTATAAGGATGAGTGAGGATGAACGGAGGGAACGACACTATCTGCACGACAAAAGCGTACAACATCAACAGACAAAAATATACTTATCGGTTGGGTGTGCGTCCTGACTCCGATGCTCCTCCGGTGGTGCCATCAAACGCTGGTTCCGCCACTAAAAACGCGCTCCTACCGATGGTGGGGCTTCAAAACTGCCTTCTCTGCCTCTACTGGCACTCTATTACTTATTTATTTTGGCCTCAACTGGCACTTACACCGAATAATCACTGATAATATTTGCTTTCTTAAATAAAGCGCACGCCTGCGTAAAAGGGGTGTTTCCTCTTGAGAATATTACGGGTTGTAAAGCGCACGCCACCATGGCACATCAAGTACACTTGGATAACTTTTCCCCTCGCCGCATTAAAAAAAGGCGATACCCCTTTTTACAAAACTCCCGCGCAAAGCATTCCTAATATTTGTTAGTGGAGGAACCGTTTTGGGAAACACCACCTTTTGGAAACTTAATCCACTGGGTAGGCACACACCGAATGCAACTGTGCCATTAATCCATAGCTTTAAATAGTGCAACTATTTGCCGACTGATGTCACTGCCAGGAAGATTAGGCGAAATAAAGGAAGTGAACAAACAAACACAAAAGAAGTTTTTGTTGCGGCCAGTTCGCGTCAACTCCACCCCTTCCCCAACGAAAAGAAAGGAGTCTTCCTTTTGGTCAGGGAACGGAAATCTCCTAATGGATCTTATTGATCCCTCTATGGCCTCAACTCCTTAACGTTCCAAATCCCTGTGTCTTTGCCTAAGTCATCTGTCAGTGTGTATGTTCAAGGTGACACTACCTTCTTAACAATAGACGGCCCTACATACTTTGGGGCTAATTTTGCCGCATAATACTTCGCTGCATCCGACAGCATAAAATTTTTCCTCCAGACTAACTCTCCTGGCATGTACTGTACATCTCTACGTCTGAGATTGTACTGCCTTGCAAGCTTCTCACTTGCCTGCTCTAGACTAGTTCTAACGTTTGCCCTAATCTCTTCGAGTCTTTTTGCTCGCTCCTGACAATTTAATTTCTCCTGGTCTCCTTAGCTGTCTATGAAGTCCCGACTGCCTTCTAGCGCCATTTCCCTTTCAAAATTTACAAAATATGGCGTAGCTCCTAACACTTCGTGCTGCGCTGTGCTAATGCAGCATGCTACCTTCGCTAACTCTTGGTCCCATGTTCTCTGATACGTTTGCCCTAAGCGTTGTCTTAATAATCTGGCTTATCCTCCTGGCCGTATTAGCCTGTGGGTGACATTGTGCGGTGTACCGGAGTTGGACGCTATAGCCACCGCAGAGGCCCCGAAGTTCTCGACTCTTAAATTGGAATCCATTGTCACACACAACCGAGCGAGGAACTCTAAATAATTCCTTCAATTGTTTGCATACGCTTTTTGCCGTGACAGTACGCAAAGCGAAGAGGAGAGGAAATTTGCAAAAATAAACCACTACGGTTAAAACATACTGGTTGCCTTGTGACGACTTCACTAAAGGCCCTACCAGACCCACGCAAATCATTTCCCATGGCTCGACTGCCTTGGTTCTCTCTATCATACCCCCAGCAGGCTGTGGATTCTCAGGTTTAACCTGTTGATAAGTTTTACACGCTCTAACATACTTTGCAATATCCGACTTCATCTTTGGCCAGTAAGACTTTTGTGAAACGCGCGCAAAAGTTTTCTTCATACCCATGCGGCCAGCCCACGGGCTGTCATGACGTTGTTTTAAAATCTCACCTCTGCCATCACGCCCAATTACTTTCTTCCACTCTGGCGAATCGCCGTAAACCGAAGGAAATAAAGACCTTACAAACTTGTAGAGGTTGCCACCTTCAACTCTCCACGCTGGATACGACAGATGCTTTTTCTCTACCAGCCGGATCATCCTTGCCAACCAAGGACTTGCAGTAATCACCTCAGCAATAACTGGCACACTTCGGGATAGCATATCTGTAACCAGATGTTCCTTGCCTTGCCGATGCACTTTATCAAAATCATATTGCTGGAGTTTCAAAGCCCATCTCGCCTACCTACCACACGGATCATTCAATTTATTCAACTCAAATAAGCTATAACCCTCTCACCGTCGTCAAACATATGCGTTAACACCGCACCTACACCAAAATCAAACGTGTCTGTCTGGATTGTGAAAGGCCTATCAAAGTCCGTACAACTCGAAACCGGAGCTGTCACAAACCGCTCTCTCGTTTGCTCAAAACTCCTTTCACAATCTTCAGTCCAATTGAGCTTTCGATTTGTCTTTATTAAATCGGTGAGAGGCCTAACTAACTTTGCAAAATCTTTAATAAACCTGTGGTACCAGGACACTCTTCCCATAAATGACCGCACTTGCTTTACGTTCTTCGGTACCTCAATCCGAAGCATGGCCTCTACATTCTCAAGATCTACGTGTGGACCGTTCTTGTCTACCACGTAGCCCAAATACTTCAGCTCAGACCTACAAAAATTACATTTTTTCCCTACTTAATCTAAGCCCTGCACTAGCTAATCTAAATACACAAAAACAGAAGGTTCTTACTCTGGTCCTATGACCGAATCTATAAATCTCTGCCAAGTTGCCGGTGCGTTATGTAGACCTTATGACATCCTCTTGAACTGAAATAGTCCGCTACCGGGTACCGTAAACGCTGTGAAGGGCCTCGACTGTTCCTCCACCGGAACTTGCCGATAAGCGGACTTAATGTCCACACTGAAGAGAAACTTGGCGTCCTTTAGCTTATCTAAGGTCGGCGAAACGTATGAAGGTGGGTAACTATCTTTCTCGGTACATTTATTTAAAACTCTATAGCTTACGCAAAACCTATATGTACCGTCTTTCTTCCTTATCATTACGACTGGAGACGCCCAAGGAATATGTAATTCGCCTATCACTCCTTTATCCTTAATCTCCTCGTCCGTACGCGCCTGTATGACGGGAGACACAATATAATAACGCTGTTTCACAGGCTCAACTCTTGCTTTTACCCTGGTCTTATGCTCAACTAAATGGTTCCGGCCTAGCCCTTCCGGCATAGCCTGGAACGCACCACCTATTAAATGACCTAATGCCCTAGACTCTCTATCGCCTAACTCGGAGAGGTCAACCTGCACTAAACGATTAATCTCCATATTAAAATTAAAAAAAAACGTAAACTCACAACAGAGGAAAAACCAAAGGAAAAAAAATTATTAAAAAACAAAATTTTAACATTATTCAATATTAAAAAAAAATTTATCACCCTAATGTTCCTTCCAACAACAGAAGAGCCTAACCACACAAAAGAAAATTTAATAAAAATCCGATATATTGATATTTTACACAAAATTTAATAAAAAAATATTTTTAATTTCCATAAAAATTGTTAAACAAATTTTAATTAACGAACAAATACCAAAAAAACACGAATTAATTCGGTCAGCCTACCACTGGCTACTTCCGGACCAGTCTTTACCCTCTAGACGAACAATTTTTTTTACCGGTATAACGCTCCTATGCAATATACCGCAGCAAACAAAAAATTTACTAAACGGAACGGACTCACCAAACTCCTTTTCGGTATGTCAAGTTGTTGATTTTCAATGTGGTCCTGGGTCGACCCCCAACGAAACTCTTTCCTTGAATATTCTACTAATACTAAACAAAAAAAATAGCAAATCGTTAATAATTATAAGAAAAACAAAAAAACAGAACGCCCTTGCTGAAACAGGACCACACAAATATATATTTATATATTTCCCCTTTTAAAATATATATTTATCTTTAAATATGGGCCCCACATTGGGCGCCAATTTGTTACCTCCACTTTTACTAATTGCAATATGTATATGCGCATGTACATACGTAAATACCTACAGTGGCTGTTGGTCAAACGCTTACCAACAACCACACACGTCAAAGCAAACTACCGCAAAAAAAGGAGATGACAAAAACTAACAAAGCAACCGGCCAGCTATGTGAAGACGGCGTGGGTTGCTAGCTACGTACAACAACAAAACTACTTGCAAAGAAAAACAAAACCAAGCGAAACTTTCTAACGCGATAAAAAAAAACTGCAGGACAACAATAATTCGATTACAGATAAAACCGGTGTGTATAAACAGGAAATGAACAATATATGCTTTTGGGGTGCACCCAAGGTGTGGTCCAACCGAACTGGTTACGAACCCACTCGCACTACTCCCGTGCTGCCGGGGGTAACTTTATGCCGTCTGTATGACTGGGCTCTGAGTGCGGGACGCTATAAGGATGGGTGAGGATGAACGGAGGGAACGACACTATCTGCACGACAAAAGCGTACAACATCAACAGACAAAAATATACTTATCGGTTGGTCGGGTGGGTGTGCGTCCTGACTTCGGTGCCTCTCCAGTGGTGCCGTCAAACGCTGGTTCCGCCACTAAAAACGCGCTCCTACCGATGGTGGGACTTCAACTGCCTTCTCTGCCTCTGGCTAAACACAAAAAAGAACACGTCTTTCGCCTCTACTGGCACTCTATTACTTATTTATTTTGGCCTCAACTAGCACTTACACCGAATAATCACTGATAATATTTGCTTTCTTAAATAAATCGCACGCCTGCGTAAAAAGGGTGTTTCCTCTTGAGAATATTACGAGAAACTAATCCCTCACGCACTTACGAGCCAGGTAAGTTTGTATTGGTGCCCAATTATTTGGCACCGCCCCCATTACCCAAAGGTACCGGGTGACGAGTATACCACTGGCTAGGCACACACCGAATGCAACCGTGCCATCAATCCAAGGCTTCAAATAATGCAACTATTTGCCGACAGATGTCACTGCCAACGCTTGGAGTGAAAGGAAGCTTAAGCAAAACAAAGGAAATGAACAAACAAACACAAAAGAAGTTTTTGCTGCGGCCAGTAGGCGACAATATGGAGAAGTGTGTATTTTGTGAGAACCTAGTAACTTTGTTAATTCATTAAATAATTTTGAAGTAAACTGTGTTCCTTGATCTACCGTTATATTGAGTGGGATACCGAAACGAGGAACATAATTTTGAATAAATATAGTTGCAACAGAAACCGCTGAAATGTATTTAAGAGGATATGCTTCCAAACATCGAGTATGTCTGCCAATTATTGTTAATATGTATCGATTCTCCTTTGAAACTGGAAGAGGTCCGACCAGATCCATATGAATATCTTCAAATCGTCCAGAAGGAATATTAATGTTTTGAATTTGAGTTTTTATGTTCTTAGTAACCTTAGATTTTTAATGCATTGTTCTAAAATATTATTACTATTATTATTTGTTGTTGCTATTGAAGATACTTGAGGTTTATTAGTTAATTCGAAAATTTTATCAGCCAAAATAATAATTTTACCTTTATTTTGATTACAAGAAGAAGTTAAATGAATTTGAATTTGTTGAGGTAGTTTACGAATCCATAATATAAAAAGTAATTTGTGACTAACAATTGAATCTGAACGAATTAACGATTTCATATATCTAAAAAGCTCTGAAGGAGAACGATCACCAAGTACAGTATTTGAAAATGATTGTTCCAATCTCTTTATTTCACTAAGAATCTCTCTCAAAGAACTTTCTTAATTGTTTCATATTTATTCGAAAACGGAGGTGGATTAATAACATCGATAATTTTGAAAATAGTTTCTCGTTGAAGAGCAATTAAACCAATTTGAAATTTAATGGTATCATTATAAATGTTGTTAATTTCAAAATGTCCTTCAACAAGCAAAAACCATGCTTCAGGACATTCATTCCAAAACGGAGGTAATTTAATAGAATTGGAATTCGGTCTAAAATCATGTGTATGAAAATTTTGAGTTAAATTCTGTGTTGTATTTAAATCTGTATTACAGTTGGTGATTTCATTTTGTGTTTCTGTTGTTGTAAAATTATTTGTAAGTAGCTTGAACAAAATTCGATGAGCAGGATCGCCATTTATTTAGAAAACAGTTTATTTATAAATCTCTATATATAAATGTAAACACAAGCAAATTATAATTATTTAATTTTTTTAATAATATTTGATCTTATTCATTTGAAACCGAAAATTAATATGATTCAGAAAAATGAAAATATTTGAAACTATAAAAGCAGTAACATACGAGTATAAATTTAAAAATTGAAAATTGTAAGCTACAAATGTCGAACTAGATTCCTACAGAATCCGGACAACATCCATCAACACAATATAACAATAGAATATATATATCGTAATAATATAATATAGAAGATATCGTAAAAAACATATACATATATGTTAATTTCTACATGAAATAGCAAAACATATATATATATGTATATAGTAATTAGAATTCTATAAACCTTTACGGACATAAATTCGCTTCTACATGTGCATACATACTTACATGTACATAGCATAAGCAAAACTGTCTTTAATAATAATTTTTTCTTAAAATAACATTCTTCCTGCGTGCCTGCGTACAAAATATTATAAAAGGCGAGGTGGGATTAATGCTACCGACAAAGGTCATTCTCACCGTACGAATATTTACACGGTTACAGCCCTATCAATATTAGCGCCTCATCCCTCTGTTCTTTTCGCTGTTTGGCGCCAGTTGGAAATACCAAGTTAAGCGAGGTCCACCTGATCCTTCCAACATAATGGAGGTGTTCCTCTTCCTATGCTTTCACCAGCGGGTACTACATCGAATACTTTCAAAGCTGAAGTTCTTTTATTCATTCGGACGACTTGACCTAGTCAGCGTAGCCGCTGCCTTTTCATTTGCTGAACCATGTATTGTTTTAGGGAGACAGTATGTTTGTTTGTCTCCCCGTTGAAGCTGATTTTTTTGTATATCTTTGTGTATTTGTGCTTATATTCGTCAATTTACTTGTTAATTAAATATGAGCACCTCAGGCAGCCAATCTAGCCTAAAACGCCGTGCTAGCAGAAAATCATCGTTCGCCAAGTCTCTTAAACTTGACGATCACAGTAATAATGCTCTCCCCACTTTACTGACTGCAGTACCAGTTTTGAAGGAGAGAGTGAAAATGCAAACAGAAGAGATGCAAGGATGCTTGTGAAGAAGCTGAGTGATGAAGTCAATACATTGAATCTGAAGTGCAATGAGTCTGATGAGCACGTTTTAAGACTTTGGGCTGATGTTAAACAACAAGAAGGTGAGATGCGGAAACTGAAAGCAAAAATAAACTTGTTGTCAAGCAGACGTGAAAGTTCTCAGGCAGATGCAATTGCTTTTGGTGTACCATTTACGGAGTGGGAGAACATTAGGAGTCTATTTAATCAAGTCTGTCTCTCCATTGACCTTATGGTACCACAGATACGTGATGCTTTCAGAATATAAACGTCAAATATAATAATCATACATTTTTATTCTCCTGCTGATCGCGCGCGTACTCTTCGCGCATTCTCTGTATGTCGAAAGAGAATAAAATCGGCTATTCCTCTAAAATCGATAGGAATTGATGCCAAATTTAGCATCTACGAAAGCCTGTCTACTGAGAACAGAAAAATGTTACAAAAAGGCTTGAAACTAAAACGTTTGGGGAAGCTGCAGCCGGTGTTCTCTATGAGAGAAAATGTTTTTGTTCAAAGCGCTACAAACTCCACTGCATGCAAAATAGGAAATGTTGATGATCTTCAGTTATTTTGTTAGCATTAATTGGTTGTATTTATATTTATATTTATATTTGTATTGTAGCTTAATATATATTTCATATATGTTTTATTTGCATGATTTTTAAAAATTGTCATGCTCTTTTCCATGTTTTATATTGTTATTCTTGAGATTGCTATGTTTTTATTCTTTTTGGGCTTACAAAACAACTGTCCTAGTATTGGCATGAACAGTCTCATGATTGATGTGCTATGTAAACAGTGGATTTAACAAAGTCCATTTCAATGCGCGGAGTCTAAGTTCGGATAAAATGGATTATGATAGCAACACATTTGAGTTTTCATCACTTGATATCATTTGTGTTTCTGAAACATGGTATGATGAGGATTTATGTTACTCTTCTACTAATATAAAAAACTGCTAATTAATACGTAATGACAGACCAGGAAGAAGAGGAGGTGGGGTTGCAATATTTTGCAGGGACATCTATTCGATGAAATTACTTTCAAAATCTGCTGATGGTAATATTGAATATTTAATTATCGAAGTAAGCTAAAAAGAGTTCCAGACTGTTGTTTCTTGTGTTAACAATCCTCAACGAACTAATATTGTATTGTTTTGATGTAATATATTTATATGTTTGTGGTGATTTTAATGTTAATCTTCTTGTCAAAGACTTTTATACTAATAGTTTACTTGACAATTTATCCAGTTTCTCTCTTTCTGTGGTCAAACGATCTCTTCCTACGTGGTTTGCAGTGAATTGCACTCTTAGTCTTCTTGACTACTTTATAATTTCTGACTTAAGTACTGTATTAAAATTTGACCAATCAACTTTTGTATCTGACCATGATCTCATTTTCTGCTGTTTGGACATAAAAATCGATCGTTGTTGCATAATCAAGACTATCTTATTTAGAGATTTCCGCTTTGTCAACACAAATTTATTTCTTTTTAATTGTATGGTGTAGAATGGAGCGAGTGTTGAGTATATCCATCTACCGTTGAAAAACTGGATTTCTTAATGGGAATTTTAAAGTCTGCCTTCGAGAGACATGCCCCTCTTCGTACAATCACTAATAAGTGTCTGTTCTGTCCATGGTTCACCTCAAAATCTCTGAAATCAATTAAGCTACGAAATAAACTTCATTCCATATGGAATAAGAAACCCACGTTGGAAAATTGGAATGCAGAAAAACGAGTTCATTTCAACAAGAAACTAACTTCTGGTCTCTCATCAAAGGTTTTATGGCGTAACAGTAAACGACATTGTAGTGAATATGATGTTGCAATGTGTATATTTAAAATCTCATCCAATGCAATAGGGCATGATGGTTTACCACTTAAATTTATTAAAATTATACTTCCTTGCATTCTTGGGACACTAACGCACATTATTAATCATTGTATTGCCACGTCTTGTTTCCCAGAGCAATGGAAAATTGGCACTGTACTACCTGTCGCTAAAAAGAACCATCCTTGTATTCCGTCTGATTTTCGACTAATAAGCATCCTCCCTGTATTGTCTAAAGTTTTTGAGATGCTTGGCTATGCAAATAAACGAGTTTGTAAGCAAGCATTACTTAATATCTCCGTTTCAATCACGCTTCAGGAAAAATCTCAGCTGTAGTACTGCTGTACTAAAGATAACTGATGACATTCGATCCAACATGGATCAAAATAAATTCCCCTGCTTTGCTTACTTAAGCTCTAAGTTGAAACCGTACTATGGTTTTAGTTACAGTGCTTTTTTGAAAAGCTTCCTTGTTGACAGGTTTTAGTTAGTAAAAATTGGAGACGACACATCGCAACTCAAGCCAGTTACTTCGGGGGTACCTCAAGGTTCCATCCTTGATCCCCTGCTTTTCAGCATATTTATTACTGACATCTTTAGTGTGTGCAAATTTCCAAACCTGCATGGTTATGCTGATGACATTCAGTAATATTTGTCTGCACCTTTTGATCAAGCTAAAGAGCTATGTAAAAGCATTAATACTGACCTGGCTGATATCTCTAGCTGGGCGGCTGCCAGCGGTCTTATTTTAAATAAAAACAAGTGCTGTGTGCTGCCAATCAGTGTTAGGAAACTGGCAAAGCTGTATTTTTTGTCCCCAATATTCATAGACAATTGTTCCTTAAAATTAGTCAGCAAGATTAAAAACTTAGAATACATGTTAATTCCATTGTTAGTAAGGCCTATCTCATTCTGAGGAATCTGAGGAAGTCAGCAATCTATACACCCACTGCTACAAGACGCCGACTTGCTTTACAAATTATTCTTCCGGTTATCATGTACTCTGAAGTAGAATACAGCAAACATGACAGTGTGTCTACTCGTATGTTTAATAATGTCACACGGTATGTGTTTGGTCTATCCAAATATGAGCACATCTCGTCTTGGAAAGATCAGATATTGGGATGTACGATTGCGGACTATCATAAAGTCAGAAATTGTATATTTGTTTGCAAATGCCTTTTAGCTCAATCTCCTAGCTATCTTTTTTCCAAGTTATCGTTTACGTGTTCAAACAGAAGCAATTTAAAGATCCACATATATATGCCAAATTTCAATATATGCTGACCATTTAATAATTGTTTGAATTTTCGTAATACTTAGTTCATTATATAATATTATTATTTTTGTTAACGTATCTGTAAAATAATATTTACTTAGTCTTCGCACTATCTCTGTTGTACTAAAAAAGATATGGAAATCTTATTGTACTAATGCTTTGTTATTATTATTAAATAAAAATTACTTAGAAATGTAAAATGTAAATATCAACGTATAACTCGTACAGCTCATCGTTCCATTGTCTACGGTATTCGCCGTTGCCAATGCGCAAAGGACCATAAATCGTTCGGGAAACTTTTATCTAGAAGACTCCTAGAGCCGAATCATCAGATGTTGGCATCGTCCACGCTTCTACGCCATATAGTAGGACTAGTATGGTGAGAGATTTATAGAGTTTGGTCTTGTTGTTTGTATAAATCATATATTTGAGCAATCCGTTTTATAGAAGTTATTGTTATAGTCTTCCAATCTGGCTAACGAAAATCGTATTAACGAACTGATAGATTAGTTTGCTTTCAAATATTGTTTAATCCATTTTATATGTGATAAAGTATATACATATTTTTAATTTTTTTAGAACTTACGTTAAATTATTGTTTTGACTTGTTACCTTTATCTGTAGAATCGATTTAAATCGAATGGGAAAAGTGTTGACGCAGAGTTTCTAACATCAAAAGATCAATCTTTGATTGCGATTCAAGGACCTAAAGCTGTCACAACATTGGATAAACTCATTCCTAAAACAAAAACTTTAGACCAGTTGTTCTTTATGCAGACAGCAGTTTTAGAAGTAGCTGGAATTAAGGATTGCCGTATTACACGCTGCGGTTACACAGGCGAAGATGGTGTAGAGATTTCTGTACCTTCCTGCTATGTCCAACACCTGACGGAAGCATTGTTAAATGAGAACGAGAATATTAAAATGGCTGGATTAGGTGCGCGGGACTCATTACGACTGGAATCGGGATTGTGTTTGTATGGAGCAGATATTACTCCTCAGACTACTCCTGTTGAAGCAGGGTTGACTTGGCTAATAGGTGAGACATTACTAATAAACTCAATCGAAAAGTAATGAGAGTCATATTTGTTTTCAACTTTTGTATGTACAGCTCGACGCCGGCGAAGCGAAGCAGACTTTCCAGGCGCTAACCGAATTTTAGCTCAGTTACAAAAGGGTACCAAGGATGTGACACATCGCCGTATTGGTTTCACAATGCTTGGAGAAAAAAAGGCTCCACCAGCACGCACGGGAGTTCAGATCTATAATCAAAATAAATGCGTGGGGTATGTAACAAGCGGTTGTCTCAGCCCTAGTCTTGGAAAAAATATTGCTATGGGATATATTTTTGAAAAGTTTTGTAACGCGGATATCTTAGTTCAGTTTAAAATTCGAAACTCTTTTTTTGAAGCTATTACTGCTCGAATGCCTTTTGTCAAGTCCCAATACTATTTAAAACCAAAGAAATAATTTTCGTTATATATTTGATGAATATTTTTGAAATATTATTATTCTATGAACATCTAGGTAGCCTATAAATATACTTTTCATTTCTAACACACAAAACATAATACTGTAAATTGTTTTAAAAGAAGAAATAAACGCATATATTATAATTTAATGTTATGCTCAATAATTTAACGTTATTAAAAATGGTTTGTGGCAAGTGACGGCTGCGCTTTTAAAACACATTGTAACGATTTCCACTACATAAACTATTCCCAAATCTTTTGAATTCACTGGATTGTTAATTAAAAGACTCAAAATTACGTTTTCTGCTTCTTTAATGTTTACACATTCTATTCAATTCAATGTGGTTAACAATATATTAACTTTCTATAAACACACAATTTATTCCTCTTCACTTTAATGTTGTCACCAAAGATGACTAAATACGAAACTTACTCAAAATCACTCAAATTGCAGCTGAGAGCGTTCCCCCATCTCACATTCTAATGTTGGCAGCAGTGTCAGATCGGGGAACATTCAACATCTGTTGTGTAAAACGCACCAGTGCCACTGTCAATAAAAAAGTCAATTATTTTTGTTTCAAAAGAAAATTGCTTCAGCAGTAAATATTAAAGAAATTATTGTAATTTTATTATGAAAACTTAATATAATTAAATATTGAATTGTTACTTAATAAAATATTTTAGTGAAATTGCAATTAAAGACGCCGTTGCTTGTAATAAAATACCCAAAATATATCTAAAAATCCAAATAATTCGCTTTTCCATCACAGTGGCACTGTTCAGAAATGTTATAAGAAATGCGAATTTTTGAGCGCTCTCACGGAATATAGAGTTTCGTATCTAGTCATCATTGTTGTCACTACCACGCTCTACAGTCAACTGCAGATGCTACGCTGTTGGCCGCCTCTATATTTTAGCTAACCATTTCTCGCTTACATCTCTAAGTCATTTTGTTTGACTTTTCTCGACGACGAACATTCGATACATGCGCTCTGAAGCATGCTGCATTTATCTTTACTCCCTCTTTCATCTGACATTCGTATTCGCATATTCGTCATAATATATTAATAATGGATGACGTGATTACCTTCGTTCAGTGTCAACAGAATATCGTTACTTGTACTATGTTAAAAGTTGTTACATGGCCGACTATATTATATTTTCGTGGATGTTTTTGCTTCACTGATTCACTATCTCCGCTTAGAAGCTGGTTAGATCAGTCTAAGTAATCAAAGTCATCTAACGGTCGGTGTAGGCAACGAGCTGACGGGTGCCGATTGAAAGGGTGGTTGAGTTCGCCATCGGCGGCGGCGGTGAAATAATGCTCTTCAATAAAAAAACAATCAGCCGTTCGGAGGCGGCTTGATATAAACTATAGGTCTTTCCATTTGTTGGAAAAACATCAAAACGCAAAACCAATTGGAGGAGGAGCTCGGCGGAAAATCGCTTCAGCGGTGCCAATGCACCAATTATGTCTTAAGAGGATAAGAAGGACTTAAGTCGAAAACAAAATCCATATCCTAATTGTGCCAAGTTTACTCGGGTCAACCGTGGTAGCTCGAGCTCTTCGTCTGCAAAAGATGGTGCTAGGATTACAAGAACGCCATTCACTGGATGAAACCCCTCCTGAGATGCCTGAGGGGATGCTCAGCCGCAAGTAAATATCCCTTGGGTAGCAGGTACAGGAACACCAGATTTTTTTTGAGCATAACATAGGCGTGTAATGTAAATGTCATGTAGATGTTTCACGATACAAAAGAAGCTCCAGGGACTTTGTAAGGTTTCCTGTCTCATGAAATAAAAGCTACTTATCAAAAAAAAACCACCAGCAGTTCAGAGGCGGCTTAGTGTGTACTGTATTATATATTACTAGCAGACCCAGCGAACTTCTTCTCGTCTTAATTACATGCCTTTAAATTACATTAAGAGTGATAATAAAATGTATGTAGATAGTTCAAATCTGAATCTGAAGAAAGCAATATGGTTGTGGGCAAGCACACGTGGTTTGTCAATACGCGAACAGAGGAAATTATCATAAAATTACTAAAGCTAAACTAAGCGGTTTCAGATAAGAAAAGTTCAAGAAGCCGATACGAACGAAAATTAAAAAAAATCAAATAAATTGACCATAAATAGGAGTATATATATTGTGCATGTTAATCTAAACGATGAGCTACCAACAAATTTAATTTGAAGTAAATCGAATCATAACTAAAATTATCTCGCATGAAACGGTAACCGAAATTCTCTTAATAAAATTGAATTCCATTTCGTTCCAGTCGTTATCAATTCAGGAAAAACTATAAATTGTTTTCAACAAAAGGATTTCTCATTAACCGAGATTGCATATGTACTAAAAAGTAACCAGACGCCTCGTTCTGAGAGTTATTTTTTCTATCACTTGGATACAATATATATTTCCTGCATAATTCATCGAAATGATAAATGTCATAACGCACGCTACGAAATTGCTCGGCTTTTACGCATGTAAATGCAAGGAAACGGATCCCGTATATGCACGGACGTGCCTTCCAACAAAGCTTCTGCTTATGTCAACGAATGATGCCATCTATATCTGCTCGGTGACTCTTTCACTGTTCTAATTCAGAAAAATTTTGTTTATTTATCTAAACCAGAGAATTTTTCCGAATAGATCGGTCCTAAGTTACTGGGAACAAAAGTAATGTTCCTGCTAAACTAAATAAAATGCCACCTATGTATCAAATTTCAAGTAAATCGAACTATAAATTCAAAGTTTTTGAATAGATCAGACTATGGTTAGAGAAGTGTAGTCCTCCTGTCAATCTTAGCAAAAAGTCAACCATGTACCGAATTTCAAATAAAATCGAATCATAAATTTCTTTTGAATAAGTCCGTCCCTGGTTCTCTCCAGAGAGAAGAAGAGTATTCCTGTTAATCTCTGCAAAAAGCCACCTATGTACCAAATATCACATAAGCCGAACCATTAATAAGTTTTTTTCGAAAAGGACAGTCGTCCCGGAGAAAAGTGTAGTTTTCCTTTTAACCTAAGCAAAAAGCCCCTAGTGCATCGAATTTCAAAATACATCTATGTACCGAATTTCAAGAAAATCGAACCATAAATACGAATTTTTCGATTAGATGGCCTCTTCTCGGTGTTAAAAATAGATGTTCGTGATCAGACTCAGACCTACTGAATATGCACCCAAATGTTCATTAAAACCGTCAAGCCGTTTCGGAGGAGTATCGTGACAAACACTGAGACACGAGAATTTCATATATTAGATATATGTGCAGCGACACAGGTATTCAATAATAAGATTAAACACTGACGGCGCTTACTAAAAAATACGTTATTAAAATAAAGTTAAAATCAATAATTATTATTGAAACTAAAATAAAGTTTTGTATGAGTTGATAACTGCAAACGAGGGAGCATCTGCACTGTTCGGCGTTCCTACCAAAGGAGGAGGGCGAATAAATCGACGTATACGTGTATGTATGCTTGATTCCAAAAAGTTGTGTCAGCTAATGGAGCAGGGCTTATTCGAATTGACCACCGGGATCAGAAGTTATTCTCAGCGGAACCCCATATCTTGCTATCTGCAATTACTTCTGTATACCTATTTTCTATAGGAACTGTACCTAACGCTTTTGGAGTGCTCGTTTCATCGAAGTCTTAAAATCCCTTAACGAGTAAGTGACCCTGTGGAATATTAACTAGTATTTCCTTACTATTTTAAGACCATTTTCTCAAAGCGAAACCTGCTCTGTTGAGAACTTTTATTAGCTCAACCCGCGTTTTTAAGGCTGTGGATTTGATATGAAAACCGATTAACACATCTTCTATGTACACTGAGTTCCTCAAAATGAGAGCTGCTAGAAGGTGTGACTCTTGAGCAGAGTCCTAACTACCCAGTGGGGCGCACAGTTTACAACGAAATATACCGTTTTCAATTTAAAATCTTAAATGCTACTGTTCGGATCGTTTTCGAAAACAATTCTTTGATAAGGCCTATGCGCTGGATTTACTAAAATTTGCATAAATATTTTTGTGGTATTCATTATTGATTACATACTTATACATTTGCCATCTTATCAGTAGTAATATAAGATCAGCTTGTAGGGACTGCATGCATATGTCGTTAAGACAAGCTCCATTGGAAGTGTTGCTCGACGCGTTGAAAACGACCTGAAGCTTAGTCGAAGTGCTTTCGTGTTTCATGACTGCATGATAGCGTAAATAAAAATCATTTGGCGAATATTCAAGTGAAGGAGAATTCGCTTTCTCCATATGTCCTAAATCCAAATATTCTTTTGCCACTTCATCGTATTCTGCTTTAAATGAGGGCGTTTTCAACAATCATTCATTCCGAATATATTGCCGTAGGATGAAAACATTTAAATGGAAGTGAACCTACATATCTACCCTCCGAATTCCTGAAAGTAGTTGTTCAGTAAAGTTCTTCACTTAACGTATTGTCACCTCCACTTTTTAATTTACACTATGTATGTGCGCATGTACATACGGACATACATATGTATACCTACAGTGGCTGTTGGTCAAGTGCCTACCAACAACCACACACGTCCAAACAAACTACCGCACAAAAAAGAGATGACAAAAAAATAACAAAGTGACCGGCCAGCTTAGTGAAGACGGCTTGGGTCAGCAGCATATTCGTTTGTCCCTCCTCCGAGTCATAAGGCCAAGGGTTTGTTGGAACCTGACTTGGCTTATGTCTCGGCTGGTGTAGAGGTCGCGGCGGTAGCAGAGCCGAACCATGTAGATAATTTTAGGTTAGGATCGAACATCCGGCTGATGAAAGAATAGGGAATTCTCGATCGAGCGATAGGGCTGTCAGGTTGGACAACAGATCGGGAAACGGGAGAAACACCCCTGGGACAGTAGGAAAAGCGGTCTAATAGGGCGAGTTAGTGAAGATGCAAACTCCCAGCTGGCGAATATAGGTGTCGATTTTGAAGTGATCTTAGTGTTTTCGTTGGTGACTGACGGGCTCGACGAACATCCTTATTTGGATATTAGAATTCATGGTTTTGCTTTGGATTCTGGTGCGACCAGAACAGTAATATGTCGGCTAGGTTGGCAAAAACTGAGCGCGTATGGTATTCGGGTAAATTCTGTTTCTAATTTTTTAAGAGTGACTCT